AAAAAAAAAAAAAAAAGGTAGAGAAAGAAAGCAAAGAAAAGAATACTTGCCGGGCATGGTGGCTCACACCTGTAATCCCAGCGCTTTGGGAGGCTGAGGCAGGTGGATCACTTGAGGTCAGGAGTTTGAGACCAGCCTGGCCAACATGATGAAACCCCTAAAAATACCAAAAAAATTAGGCAGGCGTGGTAGCATACATCTGTCATCCCAGCTACTCAGGAGGCTGAGGCAGGATAATCGCTTGAATCTGGGAGTCAGAGGTTGCAGTGAGCTGAGATCATACTGCTTCACTCCAGCCTGGGCAACAAAGCGAGATTCTGTCCCCTCCCCCCCAAAAAAAAAGATAAGAAAAAGAAAAGAGGCCGGGTATAGTGGCTCATGCCTGTAATCCAAGCACTTTGGAGGCCAAGGCAGGCAGATCACCTGAGGTCGGGAGCTCAAGACCAGCCTGACCAACATGGTGAAACCCCGTCTTTAAAAAAAAAAAATATATATATATATATATATGAAAAAGAAAAGAAAACTCAGGTCTTCTGATTCTATCAGGTATCTCTGGGCCGACCCCACAGTAGACCCCTCCGGTCCAGAATCTCTGAAGGAAGCAGAAAGTGGGCACAAGCAGGCACTAGACCCCCTTGGCAGTGTGGGGGCCAGAAGGCCCACAGTCTAGGTCTTAAATGAGGCAGAGCAGAGTTTTGAACCAGAATGCCCTGTGCCTTCTGGCCCCAACCACAATGGCCTGTCCCCAAAGGGCCACTGACACACCCAGATTCTCTGTCCTCCCAGGGAAGTGACAGCGAGTATGAGGTTGACTCAAACCACCAGAAGGCCCATTCCTTTGTCAACCACTACATCAGCGACCCCACGTACTACAACTCGTGGCGGAGGCAGCAGAAGGGTATCTCGAGGGCGCAGGCCTACAGCTACACGGAGAGCGACTCGGGTGAGCCAGACCACGCCACTGTCACCAACAGCACCAGCACCCAGCAGGGCAGCCTCTTTCGGCCCAAAAGCAGTCGGACTCCAACGCCCCAGAATCCCCCAAACCCCCCAAGTCAGCAGAGCACCCTCTACCGCCCCCCCAGCAGCCTGGCCCCTGGCTCCCGGGCCCCCATTGCAGGATTCTCATCATTTGTTTGACATCGGAAGAGGAAAAAGAAAGAGAAATGGCACCAAACTCCTCCTTCACCCCTCCTCTTACTGGCTGCCAGAAGACAAAAACGCCAAGAAACCAAGTCAACTTTTCACCTCCTGAGTTTATTTTTCCAGAGACTCCAGCGCCAGCAAAGCCGGCGTTCGGAAGGAGAGGAAAATCATGCGAGGATGTGTGTGGCCAGCAGCTCTTTGGCTTTAAGATGATGGGGTTCACTGCTCCTTCGGGAATTTCACGGAGCTGGGGAAGTGGCCGTAGTGTCACTGCTACGGACACAGATTGGGGTGGGCCTCTGGGGAGAGAGAGGGAGTGAAGGCGGAGGACTGGAGCCGCCAGGCAGGCGTGGCCAAGGGAAGAAGAAGCTTCTGGGTGTTCAGCCAGCTGCCCTCTTCCAGCCCCTGCAGAACCCCTGGACCCACTGCCACTACCCTCTGCAAAAAGGATGGGTATCCCAGAGGCCACGCCTGCCTTCTCTCCCTGCTCCTCCTTCCCCTCTCCCTCCTGCACCATCACCATGGACAGCCTTGCCCAGACCCCCGTTCCGCCTGGGCAACCTCTACTGCCCACCTCCCCTGCTCAACTTCTCCACCAAGCATTTGGTTTATTTAGAAAAAGGAAGAAAACCCTAAAGGGTGAGAATTTGCTTAGCGCCTTCCTTGTTCCTGCAGATTTTTTAAAATTTTGAATCCAAGGAAGAAAGCCCAAGGGTAGGGGAGAAGTCCCCACCACTGGCCCCTGCCCCCCTGTGCTGGAATTTACCTTCCTGAGCACGGACAAGGAGAAACGAAGTCTGGGGAGCAGAGGCGTAAATAAGGCAACTGGCCTGGGCACTGTGGGAGAATTAGGTTTAATGCATTGTGGGTAAGATAAGAATGAAGCTTTGACTGTTCTCTTTCTTCCAATCCAGGTTCCGTCTGCCCCGTCTTTAAAGGGGTAGTCAGCTTCCCTAGGCTGGGAAGCAGGGCGAAACTGAGGGATCTCCCTCTGGGCAGACACATCAAGCTCCACTGGATAGATCCTCACCACACACACATACACACATGCACGTGCACGCACACACACATATCTCCCATGTACTTCCAAGGAACAGGGTCTAAGGAGCCTCTCCAGAAGAAACTCCTTTAGGCTTTCCTAGCCAGACAGCACACTCACTTTCAGATCTGTGTCTCTCTCACTGTCCACCATCAGCCTCCTAAGTACAGAGGCACAGGAGCCCAGAGGGATGGCCTAAGTCCCTGGTCCAGAAGCTGGGACACCCAGAGTTTGCCCAGTCTGCCTAGCACCCAATTTATAGACAAAGAAGCAAAGGCACCCTGGCCCCCAGTAACATCTTCCAGGCTAAGCTCCACCTGGCCAGGGCCAGGAGGGGAAAGAGCAGGTCAGGAAGCTCAGTCCAAAGTGGACACAGCATTCAAGATGCACACCCAGCAGGGGCAGGTCAGATGGGACCAAGTGACAGAAATAGCTGATGCGAGGGAAAGCTTTTATACGCATACACACACACACACACGATCTGCTCCAAGGGGTGTTCAGCAAAAAGCCACATCTAAGCCGGGTGAGGTGGCTCACGCCTGTAATCCCAGCACTTTGGGAGGCCAAGGCGGGCGGATCACCTGAGGTCAGGAGTTCAAGACCAGCCTGAGCAACATGGAGAAATCCAGTCTCTACTAAAAATACAAATAGTAGCTGGGCAAGGTGGCGCCTGCCTGTAATCCCAGCTACTTGGGAGGCTGAGGCAGGAGAATAGCTTAAATCCAGGAGGCAGACGTTGTGGTGAGCCAAGATACACCACTGAATTCCAGCCTGGGTGACAAGAGCGAAACTCCATCTCAAAAAAAAAAAAAAAAAAAAAAAAAAACAGTCACATCTAGGGGCCAGGATCTTCCCATCCACTTGGTACTTCCGGATGCCAGGGTTTAGGGAGAGGCCTTTTTATCTAACTCCCTGGGTCATCCAAGGCCCTCTGTGTCCCCAGCCAGCCCTGTAAGGCTAGCCCAAATCCTCCCACCACCGCCGAGCTGGATGGCGGATGGCCCAGTAGGGGCATGTCCAGTTCAGCGGGGGCCCCTTCGTGGGGCAGGGCTCCCTGTGTGTACCATGCACAGGCGCTGCTGGCCTTCTCCAAGAGGAGATGATACCCCATTGCGGTGGGTCAGCACAGTTCCAGGAAACCCGAGTAGGGGATTTGGGTAACAAGGTAAGAGAGAACCTGTGCCCCTCCCCACCAGCCCCAAGTCCGTCACTGTGCTAATGGTGACCGGGAAGGGAAGTTAGGGTCTGGGGCCCAAAGAACCCAAAGAATGGGCACACCCAGCCATGAGTTTTTCCCGAAGCACTTGACCCCTGGGAAATGTGAAGGGGGAGATGCTGGTGGATGGCTCAGCAGACAGCTCAGCCCAGCTCCAGTGTCCAAACAGCCGTTTCTCCAATGAGGAGGCCTTGGAAGGGAAGCACAAACTTTTCCCCAAAGAAGTGCTGAGGGTTTGCTCCTCCGGGAAGTAAGGTGCTCTCGGGGCCTCCTTGGACTTGCCTGGGGGCTGCAGTGGAGTCAGCCAGACCCCTGCTCTGCCCCTGCCTCTTCTGCCTCCACCCTCTGCAGCATCTGACGTCTCCATGGCAACACATCTGCAGCTGCCGGCCTGTGATCGTGCTGCGCTGCTTTCTTTTCTTTCTGCTCTTTTTTTCTAAATAACTTTATCCTTTTCCCTCTCCGCTGAGTCTTTAACCATTTAAGGAAGTTCCCAGTTTGCATTAGGGAATTCTTTAGCCCAGCCCGGTGAGGGATTGTTTGGGAGGAAGCAGGGGTGAGTAAAAACATTGTGTATGTGTATATATTGCACATGAGGCCAATTTTCCTTTGCCTTTAATGAATCACCTGGTGCACTAAGGTAGTCCCCCCACCCTACTCCCCACAAGCTCATTCACACCCATGCTGACACCTACGTGCATGCATGGAATGGTGCCCATGCACGCCTGTACTCACACACATGCACACACAGATATGCACAGAACACACGTCTGTATGTGTGTTAGCAGAGAGGCTCTTGCAACTCCCTCTGATGGCTGAAGCCACCTCCCCCTTGAGGCAAGGGTGGCTTGGGTTGCTTGCACTTGGGGTGTGGCTGGGATCTGTTGTCTGAGAGGGTGAGGACGCCATGCAAATTTAGACAAGCCCGTGAGATCAGGCTGCGCCCACGATGAAAGTCCCACACTCAGTACCCACCCATCTGGAATATTGTCTCCACAGCCCCAGTCACAGCTGGAAGCCCAGGTCTGCAGCTGTGGGACTTTAGAATTTTCAAGGACACATCTCTTTGCCCTTGTTTACATATCTGCTGGGGCAGCCGAGGCTCCCAACCCTCCTCCCAGACACCTGGCCACATTTGAATGGGGTGGTGGGCACTGCACATGTGCAACAGGGACCTTTCCTGGCCTGTGATTTTCTGAGCCAGTGATGCCAGGGCCCTGCCTGTGGGACTCCACCCAACATAGGTTCACACCAGGACACACCTGGCACCTTTGGCATTGCCTCCCTGTGCCCCAAGCAATCTCCCAGTGTTGCACTCAGGAGCCCACGCTGGGTACACCATGCTTTCCCCTTCCTGGCTGCGCCTCCAGAGTTGACATCAGCTCCACACCCACATTGCCAAGACAAACCAAAAAGACACTCCGGGCTCCAGAACCACCATCCTCCTCGGGCTCCAGAACCGCCATCCTCCTCAGGCTCCAGGGAGTTTGCAAACCCAGGCTGCCTCCCCTTCTGTCCATCCCTCACCCCCTAGCCCCGAAACTCTTACCCCCAAACCTGACACTGCCGTGAATGAGAGGAAACAAGGACACAGCGGGGACTGTCTCACCTGGTGCACACTGCCTCGAGGCCTTCTGTTGCTGCCCACACCTCCCTGGGCAGTGCTTCTAAAGGTGCCAGAGCCTCACCACAGTGCCACTCTGGCTGGCCAGGGGCTTCCCTCAGCTTCCCAGAGTGCACATCTGAAGGTGCCTACCCTGGGTGAGGGGCTGGTGGGCAGGAGGGTAGAGGGGAGATCATCTGACAGCCGCCACCAGCTCCCCAGTGCCTCTGTATGGTCCTATCCAGGGACCCCGACAGGCATGCACACATGGCAATCCTGACCACCACCTGAGCACAGGTGCCCCCTCGGGACCACCCCCCTTCTCTTTGTTTCCATCCGAATAACCAAAAGCATTTAAATGTGTTACCTTTCTTCATCCATCTAGATGCCAGAAACGAAAATCAACACAAATCTTTATTTTTTGATTTAAAAAAATAGAACAAAAAATTATGGGGAGAGTATTCATTATGGCAGGTGTCTGTCTGTAAGAAAAAAATATATATATATCTATATGTCATATAGCGTGTTAGCAGGTTTATTTTTTAAATGAAAGGTAAGAAAAAAATTGATTTGAAATATATACCACAAGAAGTCCCATGTCCTGTCAAACTGTCAGTATTTTATAAATAAACTTTTTTTTTTGGAGTTTTGAAGCAACATTCTTTTCCTCCCTGGAACATGAATGGGGACACGTGTCCCAGAATCATACCCAAGCAATTCATTCCCCAAACAGACATTTTTAGCCATCCTGTGCTTTTGCTGAGAAGAGCCAAGGGTTTGACCTATCTGCTCTCTTAATTCATAGGTGAGTGGACATCTGTGCCTTCAAGTGAAATGCGCTATTTTATTTATTTTAAATTTTTAGAGGGCCAGGCGCAGTGGCTCACACCTGTAATCCCAACGCTTTGGGAGGCCAAGGCGGATGGATCACAAGGTCAAGAGAACAAGACCATCCTGGCCAACATGGTGAAACCCCGTCTCTACTAAAAATACAAAAATTAGCTGGGCGTGGTGGCACGCGCCTCAGCTACTCGAGAGGCTGAGGCAAGAGAATTGCTGGAACCCTGGAGGCGGAGGTTGCAGTGAGCAGAGATCAAGCCACTGCACTTCAGCCTGGCAACAGAGCGAGACTCCGTCTTAAAAAAAAAACTTAGAAAATGAAGAAAAAAAAAACTTTTAGAATAATATCTTGCGATATGCAAATGATAGTGAATAATAATATATATGATGTTCGTTGTGGGCTAAAAAATGAAAGTTTTAAAAATTTTAAAAATAATATACACGTATGGATCGACTTACGACCTATGCAACTTACGACCATTCGACTTTACGACCACAATCGCTAGCCACGATTGCTCCGCGTCTGGCAGCACAAACATTGCCCAGCTGGGCGTATGACAGTGCGGACCAGCTTCCGGCAGCACTACCATCTCTGCGTGCATATAGCCTACTCAACTTATGACCAAATCGCGTTACGACCGGTCTGTTGGAACCAATCGTGGTCATAAGTCTAGCACTGGCTGTAATAGCAATCGCTAATACGTCTATGGCACTCACTCTGTGCCAAGCGCAGTTCTAATCACTTCACATTTATTAACTCGTAGAATCCCTGTGACAGTCCCCAGGAGGAAACCTGGGACAGGGAGGCTTTAAGTGACTTGCCCTCAGGGAGTGGTAGAACCAGGATTTGTAGTAAAGCCTTCCGGCTCTCAACACATAACGCTGCCTCTCTGACAGTGTAAGGCAAGCTCCTTGTCCGTTTTTATGTTAATTTCTACAAAGCTAGCACCCTATGTCCCAGTGATCGTAATGCCGCGAGAAACGCTCTGTTGTTTGGTGGATCTAACTCAGTTAATCTACCCAGGGTTAGAATTAGGGCTTAGACAGCCGATTTTTTTTTCTTTTTCTTTTTCGAGACAGACTTTCACTCTTGTTGCCCAGGCTGGAGTGCAACAGCGAGATCTCGGCTCACAGCAACCTCCACCTCCCGGGTTCAAGCGGGTCTCCTGCCTCAGCCTTCTGAGTAGTTGGGATAATAGGCAGGCGCCACC